TGAAAATACACATTAATGCTTGTCTTTTGCATACCAACAAGATGCAGAAACTTTTCATAGAAGAGGATAACAAAAAGCCACAAGTTTTAATTCAAATAAAAGTAATAAACACAAAACTCAGAAGCCCAAAGGACATGTATACAACCTTATGTTTAGCGTAGATCTTTGCCAATTCATCCCTTTTACAAGAAATACTGAAGCAGTTACAGAAACTTCAAATATTTGTCCGTTGTCCAGCTTAGAGCTAAGTTGAGGTCAAGAAGCCTTTCAGGATATTTTTCATCACAATAACTCATCTGAACTGCTGATAAAATAAAATACAGTGTCTCTTGATACTTGGCGATTCGACTTTCGTGGACTCACTATTTCGCGGGTTTTCAATACAAGATTGTAAACATTGTTTCTCGGTGGCCTGGCCCGCTCAGTGATCGCCGAGGGGCCCCCTCCTTTCTCTTTCTGAGGATGCCATTAGCTATGTTTACATGGACATAAGTAATTGGACTAAATTGCCATTTGGAATAAAAATGTGTCATGTAAATGCCCCGTTTGGATTATTCTTTGTTGATTCGGCTAGATCTGAAAGAATGTGTGACCAGAACGAAACGGGTGGTTTATGCCGATTCATAATCTGAACGGTGTGCATGTAAACACTTAATCTGTTCATTTTATTCCGATTGTGGAAAACTGACCTGACTGCACATGTGCGACCTATGTCTACCTCACGTATTTCCGCCAAGCTAGATGCTAATAATATTAGCATGTCGGGGAAGCAAAACTGGTCGGTGAATTACACAACATTTTTACTAGAAACTTTGAAAGAGCTCAAAATGATCTGTATTACCTGTAGCTCAATCAGGGAGTGCAGCAACGTCTCCACCGTCATTAAAACCTGTCGCGGGTCCATTTTGGGCGCTCAGGTTTATTTACGTTCAACTTCTTCTTCTGTGTTTTTTTTAAGGAAAGTTTACCACTCTGTACATGCTAGTACTTCTATTCAGAATAAAAGCCCGCTGCATGCAAACGCTTGTCGTGAACGGATTGTGCCCATGTAAACGATACATTTGATTAGTTAATCTGAAACATTTCAATCCAGTCAAAGAATTTTATGCATGTAAACATAGCTTGTCACAGCAGAGCAGAGAAACGCAACAGGCGGGCATGCAACCAGTGACAGACAGCCTAAGAAAGAGAAAGGAGGAGGCGGGGTCTGTCTTTCCCCATCGCTGCTTTGAAAGATTCAGTGAGGCAGATACCAGAGTGAGCGGCATGGATTGTTTATTTAAAATAATCAAGCGCGACCCAGACCAAGTCTTAACCGAAACCGAGCCAAACCGAACTGAGTCGGGACATTTCCCGAACCAAGAAATGTCCCGGTGCTCCCGATGGCCAGTCCGTTCCTGGGCACTGATTGGCTCAGTAAACATAACATCAGTCTGTCTGTTCTCTTTCGCTGTGCTCTTTTAGAGAGTTTAGAACATTGCAAGAATGTGGGAAGGGTTTATAAAGCCTTGAAATATAAATACTAAAATAAATACAACGTCCCTTCTTTGTGGATTTTCACTTATCGCGGGGGTGTCTGGAATGTAACCCCCGCGATAAGCAAGGGACTACTGTATTTTTTTTTTTTTTAAACATTGTAGATCGTAAGCCATCCTCATCTGGCATTCAGCCTGCTGTTTGTAAGCCTAATTGTGTCGTAGCTAAAGCAACAAGTAGGTGGAACTGGGGATTGCTTGATCTCAAGAAAAACACAACCCTGTCCTGACTGAAATGTTAATCATTACACCTGACGCAGATGTGAAGAGGAAAGTGAATTGACAGATACACATCTGTCAGAAAACAGAGAAAAGGTTTTAGGTGAAATTTGACAAGCTACGATAAGAGCTCTTACAATGGGAGCACAGCCCTGAACCACTGAACCGCAGTGCCACCATCTTGCACACCAACACACATACATGTGGATGGGGGACAGATGGGGCTGTGTTGTGGCTATCAAAGTGTGTTGAACAAGTGTATCTCAGCAAAGTTATCAAAGTGCTCTTGTGTTTCAGGAAAAGGCTAGGAAAACATTCTCAGTCCTGCTGCTCACAAGACTAAAAACCCGCCTCTTTGGTTTTCAAAAGAGTCTTGAAAACGGGAATAAAAGAGTAAAATTTCTTATGAGAGATGACACTCGGGGTCTTCACAACTATGGTTAAAAAAGCTCAGAATGACGTCCAATAAAATACATTTAAGCTTAAACTGGTCACAGTTACAGCCAAGAGTAACTCTTTTAACTCGTTCCTGATCATCCAAGTGTACAAAGTGCTTGTTTGGCACTTCAAAATGGAGCAAACTGAGGTAAGTCTTGACACCACATGGCGACGGAGGAAAGGTCAAAACAATAACCACACTAAAGGACAAAATACTTGACCAGGGTAGTCGAAGGGGACTGAATGTAAAGGACACATTTGGTGTATTGTCTCCTTGTGAAGGAGTCCCCCCAGGCTCTCCTCTCCTGAGAGCCCTAGGTCAAAAGGTCAACACACCTGGTAATGGCTACCTAGCACTTGACATCGGGGTGAACCCTAAAAACAAGAGATTTATTCTCAGGGTGATTGTACACGTTAGTGGAGCACTTTTATATGTCTGTGCAAGGAGCTAGAGCTAATGAAGTGCTCCAAACCCCATTGGGACCATCAAAAGGTCTCCGTCGTCATGGATACACCTAAACTTGTCGGCCGTTATTGACGAGCATGAATGCAATGAGAGCTGATTGAGGGCCTGTAACCTGGAGAGAGGCCGCCTCCTCAGATGCTCTGCAGGTCAAACACAGCCATAAAGCACTTGGAAAAAAGGACAATCTGCCTTTTTATATGTTCACGATGGAGACGAAGCATTTTCATTCAGGAAAATTCCTGTCGGGAAAGAAACGAGTGAACCTCTAACGAACCTTTAACTCAATATTAGCACCAACTTTAGGAGTCGTCTGGCTTTTACACCTTTAATGACTCATTTAAATTATAAGGATCACTGATCACTATTAACCTGCATGCATAGTTTGTCTTCATCCAACAGTATTTTTTATATGCAACCTTTAAGATCTCATTAGTGCATGTGCGCTATGGTGTATTTTATTTAATTTTGTTCTTTTGTTATGCGTTTAAAAACCAGGGGTGTCCAGACACCTTCATATTTGGGTCAAACCTATCGAGATGAAAAACTCGTGGGCCACAAAAATGTGAATTTTATTCTCAACGTGAACAATATTTTGGAGAAAGAACCAAAGTTTAGTAACTTTGGTGAAGACAGAGTTTTAAATTGTTGTAGAGTCAAAACACTAAACACCTCATAAACACTAAGCTTTTATTTTTTATTAAAAATAATTGATTTATTTGATTTGTTGGGTCTATTTTCTTGTGTTTGGAAAGTTCATTTTAGTCTGTTCTTGGCAATAAAAGCATAATTTGAGTAAGTGTCATTTTAGACCTTGGGACCATGGATGGTCCAAAAGACTGATTGAAGTTCTGGAAAAATGATGTCAATCACTACAACAGATTCAAAGGTTTGATAAAGTTGATCAACTCGTATGTAGATGATACCACGTTATATTCATTTAAAAATGTCCAATTTCCCTCTTGATTATTTTATCAACGGCAATATTTAGTCAAGTTTTATGAATCATTATCCAAAAAGTCTCCTTTCTGGTGGAAATCAGTAAAGGTTTTTGGTGTTTGTACCATGAAGTGAAAATAAGATTACAGGCAAAAATTTGTATTTTGCTTAATATTGCTCATTTTGAGATGATTGTTTTTTTCATCCGTTTTGCTGGTAAAACCCAAACGTTATACAAAAAAGGATTACCAACTAATGTGTAGAAAGTCTGCATCGACCTCTTAAGCCTCTGGCCAAAATGACACCATTCTTAAACTGCAGCTGTGGGCCGCACAAAAGCACTCCAAGGGCCGCAAAATGGCCCTCGGGCCGCACTTTTGACACCCGTCGTTTAAACCATCAACCTGTTAGAAACTACTGATTAACATAAGCCCCCGTGGCTAAAAATGGCACAGAGTAAACCCATTTTCATTAAAGTGCACAGGCCTGTTTACAGACAAACATATTTAACAACATCCTTAGGACAGAGCAGCCAGCTTTAACAAATTATAAATCCTCAAGATTTTTACAGGTTTCCTTCTCAATGGCTGATTTTGGAAATATGTAGAAACTATAAATATGGTTTACATTTTTAGTTAAACGCCTTATGTAAAAGGCACACTGATTGATTACACATTTTTACTGCATAACAAACTCGAAATGACAAATCATTTAAATGAATCGACTAAAGCGGAACATTAAACGGATTTTCTTGAGGGAATGATCATGGGCTGTAGCAGGTACGCATCCAGTTAAAGTAAGATTTGACTAATCTTTAACAGTAAAGAACAAAGTCTTCTTAAAAAAAAAAAACAAGACGAATCAGGACAAATTCTTTCTAGCAGAGTGGAAGTCTCCAAATCCAAATACCCTTCTCTGTAACAACTTCAAAATGGCAACAAGTGTGAAATATCTTTATAAACAAAGTATTTTAATGAGCATCTTCCCACAAGATGTCCATCAGCCTCCCTGAAGTGTTTCTGCCACAGAGTGAAGAAAAGTCCTTGAACTGTGTCTAACACCTGAGAGTGTTTCTTCCTTTCACAGAAACCCACGTAAGAGCCACAACAAAGCGGTTCGGTTATGAGGGTGCCCTGCTAAGAGCAGCCTTTTTTATTACCCAAACCAACCACTTGCACACAATAGTTAATCGTTCAAAAGCAGCACAACCGGATCCAGCGCACAGCCTGCAGCAACCACTGCAACCGATCACGCAGTCGGCATCACGGCTGAAACCTGCCACTGTCTCTGTGGTGGAGAAAGTTCTGTACCGGCTGTCGAGTCATACGCCACACACTCAAATCTTCATTCAGCTTTAAGCATTTTAACAAACTGCAGAGTGAGTGAGCATAAGGACCTTTACTCACCTGTGACAGAAATCGTCATGGGTGCTTCCAGGGGCCTGTCATTGTCCAGGTCCCTGTTTAGCCTCAGTTCCCCCGTGTCTTTGTTCAACAGCAGCAGATTGAGCTCGTTCCCAGATTCAAACTTGTACTGGAGCTTATCCGACGCGTCTGGGTCGTGAGCCGGCACCTTTCCAATAATTCCTGTTGGGAAACTGTTGGACTTGTTGGTGACGTAGTTGTTAAAGATGATCTCGAAGTTCTGCAGTACGGGTTCGTTGTCGTTCATGTCCTTCAGGCGGATATGCACGGTAGCTCGGCTCACTAGCGGCGCAGACGTGGCCTGGACGACGATGATGTACTCGGTTTTAGTCTCATAATCCAAGTTTGTGAGCACAGTGAGGTCACCGTTATCCATGTTGAGCTGAAAAACCTCTGGGTTATTCCCTTCTATGATCTGGTACATTATCAGAGCATTGATGCCTTCATCCGGGTCGGTGGCATTGATCCGGGCTACGATGGAATTCACCTGGCTGTTCTCCTCCACGTCAATGAAAAGCACATCCTTCTCGAACACAGGAGCGTTGTCATTTATGTCTTTGACAACTATGTTAACAGAAACAGCTGCTTTCAGAGGAGGAACTCCCCGATCCACAGCAAAGGCCTTCAAATTGTACACAGGGACATTCTCACGGTCCAGTTTACGGTTAGTTCTGACGATACCAGAGTAAGGCTCGATCATAAAATCCTCCACTCCGTCATCGCCACCTTGAAAGGTGTAGGTCACTCTGCCATTCGAGCCAGAATCTCTGTCTGAAGCAGAGATCTGGAGAACACTGGTGTACTTGGGTGCATCTTCAGGTACGCTCCCTTGGTACACATCTCTGAGGAACTGGGGAGCATTATCATTAGCATCCAAGATGATAATCTCCACATACGTGTTATCAGCCTTTGGAGGGATGCCATTGTCCCTGGCAATAACAACTAAAGTGTAGGATGCCTGGTCTTCATAGTCAATCTCGATTTGTGTTGTGATGGCACCTGTATCCGGGTCAATTTTAAACTGAGGAACATTGGCCTCCATGAAATACGTGATGCGAGCATTCTCCCCTGTATCCTCATCTGTGGCGCTGATCACCACCACGGTAGAGCCAACCGGCTTTGCTTCGCTCAGTGTGACCTGGTAGTTGCTGCTCTGGAAGACGGGCTGGTGCGTGTTGGCATCAGTCACGTTGATGAACACCTGAGCTGTGTCGTAGCGCGTTCCATCGCTGGCGGTTACAGTCAGGACAAACTGTCGCTCCTGTTTGTAGTCCAAAGGGAGCGCCAAGGTGATAAGACCACCACCGCTCTGACTAGTGATGGCAAAGCGGTTTCGGGTGTTGCCACTAGAGATCTGATACATCACCACACTGTTGATGTCCCTGTCTATGGCGGTCACTGTGAACACACTGGTCCCCACCCCACAGTCTTCATTTATCTTCAGCGAGTAAATCTTCTCAGTAAACGTGGGTGCGTTGTCGTTCACGTCCAGCACCACGATGCTGATGCTGGCCGAGGAGGACATCACTGGGATCCCATGATCCCTCACCTGCACAGCAAACGTGAACGACTCCGTAGTCTCCCTGTCCAGCTCTTTGCTCACTGTAATCCAACCAGTGCTGTTGTTGATAGTTAATGGAAAACCAGGCATGGTGTCAGTCAGCTGGTAGTCTAGACGAGCGTTCTCTCCAGAGTCGCTATCTATTGCTTGAATGTGGATAACAGAATAACCGATGGGCACGTTTTCTAACACCGTAGCCTGGAAAGGTGTACTAACAAACCTGGGCTCGTTGTCGTTGATATCCACTACTTGAACCACCACCATCCCTGTGCCATTTATCAGTGGAGGTCTGCCACAGTCCTGAGCTTTAATCCGTAGATTGTACTCGCGGATCATCTCGTAGTCCAGAGAGTTGATGACACTGATCCCACCTGTGAGGATGTTGATGGAGAACTGACCTTTAATGTTGCCACTAATGATGCTGTATTGAACTTTGGCGTTGCTTCCTTCATCTTTGTCTGTTGCTTCCACTCTGATGATTTCTGTGTCGATTGCAATGTTCTCTGGGACCTGTACGACATACCTCTTCTCACTGAACTGCGGATAGTTGTCGTTCTCATCCTCCACAGTGATGTGAACCATAGCGGTGGCGGTCAAAGGGTGAGGGTCTTTGCCCTGATCGTTGGCCTCGACGATCAGCATGTACTGGGCCCGGGTCTCCCGGTCGGGTCGCTCCCTGATCCTCACCAGGCCGGTCTGGGGGTCGATTTCAAACACGGAGTTTACTCCGTCTTCATTCACGATTTTATAAATCATGTTGGCGTTGGAGGGGGCATCGCCATCAGTGGCACGGATCGTTATCACCTCAAAGCCGACCTCCACGTTCTCCTTGATGCTGACGCGGTAATCGTTTTGCTCAAAAGCCGGGACGTGGTCGTTTTTGTCACTCACCGTGACGGTGAGTAAAGCGGCAGCAGATCTTCTGGAGGTGCCGTTGTCAGTTGCAATAACTTTGAACACGTGGATGTCTTTGACTTCTCTGTCCAGTGCTTGTGTGGTTGTTATGCTTCCCGTCTTTGCGTCAATTTGGAAAAAGTTATCGGACCTCTTGTCAAATAAAGCCTCCATGCTGTATTCCAGCCTCCCTGCCTCTCCGTCATCCGTGTCGGTTGCCTTCAGGGTGATGACCCGAGTGCCTGGGGGCTCGTTCTCGGGCACAGACACCTGATAACTGGAGAGCTGGAACTGCGGAGAGCTGTTTACTTGGCGCTTCCTCCTGAGCATCAGTCCACCAGGATCTCTGTGGGTCGTTTCTGACAAGGATCCACGTTCAAGCGTCAAGCTCAGCTGCACAGTGAGCGTGCTGTGCCAAGTGCAGTGCAAATCCAACTTTCCTCCACGCTCCAGACACAAGTCATTGACCAGGAACAAATCCCCACGTCTAAACACAGCAACCAAGTCTTTGCCAACACATTTAGTGTTTAAAGGGGCAACGCTCCGCGTAAAAGTTGGCAAAAGTTCAGTTACATTCAACAACAGTTCACCTGCGTGTAAACAGGTGGTTTCATTCAGAGTAAACAGATGTTTGATGTGAACATCAGCCGCACGTGCCGCTTTCTTTCTCTTGTACTTAATAAAACAGTCCTGGCCGTGGACAAACACGTTGAAGCGCGTGACAACCGCGTCCCCAGACTCGGCGGAGGAACCTGCTCTGAAAGAAACGGACGCCGGGCTGCGTGGCGCGTGCGCGCACAGGACCGTGCGGGACAGGCGCACCTCCCCGCTGTGCCTCCCGACGTGGAAAAGGTTCCGCACGAACCGGGGACGTGAAGTCCTGTCCGTTTTGTAAGTCCAGCCCGGGCCGAGGGACAGGTTCGCCAGGAGGCTCCCGGGGGGCGACGTCTCCGAAAGGTGCATCTCCAAACAGCCCGCAAGAAGAGGCACCAGCAGGAAGCAGAGCCACAGCTCCATGCTCCTTACAAGCTCAGTGAAACTTGTCGAGTGAAGGACTAAGGCTTCCTCTGCTTTTGTCCCTCATGGTGAAGTCTGAGGACGCGCCATACTGTCCGCGTCCACGGCGCGCGGCCACTCCGACTTTAAAGTGAGCTCAAAATGGCTCCACCACCTCCTCCTCTGCTCATTTCCATAAACCTGCTGTTCTCCCCCTTAGGGAGGCTTTCAGGTGGGGGGAGGAGGGGGGGGGGGGGGAGTGCCATGGAGGCTTGGGAGGAACCACTGAGCCACAAAACGCGCAGATCTTTCGCGCAAAACATAAATAAAAACACCATGCTGGGTAAAAAGTAAGAAAATCCTCATTTAAAAAGTTCAGCTGCACCAGTTTGAGTCCAAAGAAGTCAAATGGAATGTATTAAAATGTTTAATAACGCCTTCATAATTAACCTAATTAATATAGAATTATTATAAAGTAAGCAATTAGCATAACATGCGAACACATTTTATTTTGTGAACAAGTTACCTGTAAATACTTAAACCCTTTTATAACTTTTTTTCCATTTATATCGTTTTTAATGTAACAATCGCTTTAATGTAAGTTAATTATTAAAGAACAAATTGCTAACACTGTTAGCTAACGTGTAAATTAGCTAACATGTATTTTAGTATAAATTTTTTTTAAAAATTATTTGCCTGCTAAATATTTACTAAGCTTAATTAATTATATATGCACAAGTGTGGCAAAAATAAAAACAATTTAGCCACTTTTCTAACGGAATTTGTGTTTTCAGCCACTAGCTAGGCTAAAAATACAACTTTTTATTTTATTCTTGGAAATTTCACTTACCTGTTTTTTTAATTCGCACAGGTTTTCATCTACCCCCTCAAAAAAGTTAAACACATTACTAGCTGTTGAATCTGTTTTTTAAACAGTCAAAAATAGTTTGTATATTAGTAAATCTCTCTCTATATATATTAAAAGAACAGTAAAAATATGTGGTTTGTTGAGTCTCCTTCGGGTGATTTAAATTAACGTTGCTGTGATTTAGCATTTGTCCTGCAGCGCCCCCGTGTGGTGAAAAAATGTAACTGCAGGCGAGCGCATTATTATTATTTTACTTTCCCATTTTATTAAAACACTTAATTTAAAATAGGAACCATCTTTTTTTCTTTGTCTTTTATATTATAATCCTAAATAAAACTTCACATTTAGTTTGTCCAACCTAATAATTGTAACAATAATGCCAAATTAATTAAATCAAATAGTGATGCAACAAACGTGGTTTTACGTAGCAAGTTTGCCTTATATTTTTAAAAAGCACATTTAACTATTTTTTATAAAAACATAATTTCTCAGCTCAATTGAAATATAACAAGATAAAAAATGAGAAATGATTGCATATAAATTAAACATATATATATATTTTAGTTTACATTACAATAAAAGAAAGCAAAATACCTCAAATGGTACAGCATCCTTAAACAACAGACATGGACTTTTAGTCTACATAAAACAGAATGTGAAAATGTCAAAAATAAACTCTGCATTTTATAAATTTAAATATATGTACACCATAATTAGCAGCTGTTTTATTTTAGTGTCAAATTATCAGTCTTCATGTTTTCACTCAAACATGGCAGCTACCTAAAAAAATGAAAAGATTTGACACCATTTTGGACATTTTCTCTCTCCGTAGCAAAGCTCCAGGTGATGTTTTCTAACTGGACAGCAGCTGCTCGTTTAAAAAAGGTATTTTCCTTTAAGATGAGGATATTTAACGCACTTGGCCTGGCTACAGATTTCTTTCCACAGCACCTCGTAGTAAACCTGGTTTTATAAATGTGTTTGAACACTGAGCTCAGCCTTCGTGTGAGTTTATTTCAGCTGGCAGGTTCAGGCGTCGGCTGCTGCTGTTGCTGACTGTTCGCCACAAAGCGTTCCCCGCCCCTCTGCAGCGTGTATTCACTGGGGCCTAGCTGGACGATCTTCCCGCTGCCGAGGCACTCGTCGCCTTTGTAGAGCACCGCGAACTGTAGCAGGAACGAACAGAACCCGTTTCGCCTTTTCCTCATTAAAACTGACACATGCAGGTAAAAAGGTGAATTCGTTACCTGTCCAGGCGTGAGAGCTCTGACCGACTGCGCGAGCGAAACCCACAAAGACCCGTCCGCATTCAGCGTCACCGTGCAGGGAACTGCAGGGCACAGAGGGAAACTGTGATTTTGTGTGAAGCGGGCTCGTCTTTTCAACGTGAAAACAGAACCCACTGAGAGGCATCTGGTGGATGAAGCGGAAGTGACAGTCCAACATCTGGGTCCTGACCAGCTCGGGAGGCGGGTCCACGGCGATCCAGTGGAAGCGGACGGTTCGAAACGTGTCACAGAACAGAGCGGGGTGGTTCGTAGTCGGAGCCTGAAAACAGGAAGCATCACAAACACCGCCCTCTTGTGGAACATACTGGTATTTCATTTTCCTGTTTTAATTTGAAGACTAAACCTGAAAACGAGTTTCTCACCACAAGCACATCTCCGGTAACAACATCTTTGTCCACGACAAACCACGCGTTCCTCAGCCCGCCTATCCGCGCCCTCTGACCCAACGTCAGAGTGAACCAACCTGGACGCACAGAAGGGACACGTTATGGACGAAACATGTCCACAAGGACCAAAGTGTCCGCGATCGAACTGACAAGACGGACCTTTGTGTGTTCCCAAGACGGTCCCGTCCTCGATGGAAACGAAGTTCCCGGGTTTCGGCTCGAAGTACTGGAAACACAAACAAAACGGTGGAAGATCATCTTCTCTGATCAGAAACAAAACCGGAGACGAATTCATTAATTCTGCGTCTCGCCTCCAAAATGAAGCTTTCGAAGTTTCTCTTTCCGATGAAGCAGATCCCCATGCTCTAGAATAAGAAGGAAAAATCAAACTGTGAATATAAACTTCAGGTCTTTCTTGAAAAGCCACACACACACACACACACACACACACCTCTTTCTTCTTCAGCACGTGGTGAAAGCCGGCCTCGGCAGCCATCTTTTTCACAAACTCTTTGGTGAGTCCGGCGAGCGGGAAGACGGTCTGCCGGAGGGCATCTTGGGAGATCTGACTCAGGAAGAAGGTCTGGTCTTTGACCACATCGGCTCCTTTGCAGAGCTTCACATCTGGAGACACAAGCAGGTGAAAACAGCTGAAACCGAAATACTGATACGAAAAAACATCAGCCGAAAATGTAAAATCAACACTCCAAACGAGAGAAACGAGCGCTGTGAGCCGGACGACAACAAGGAAAACTACATCCAAGAGCTAAACTAGCTAAAAAGTTAAAATGAAAAAACTTTAGCTAAAAAAAAATAAAATTAGCTAAAACAGTCGCCAACTGCTAAAATATGCAAAACGTTGCTAAAGGGCCAACTGTGGCAACACAACGGCTAAAAGATAACTGTAGTAAATCTGTAACTAAAAGCTGAAATTAGCTAAATCGTATCTAAAGCCATAGCTTAGCAAAAAAGCTAAAACGAGTAAAATGCTTGCAAAAAGCTAAAATGATAAAAACTTTGGCTAAAACGATAAGAGCCAGAAAAAAGTAGCTAAAATTACCAGAAAGTAGCTACATGTTAACTGTAGCAAACAACAGCTAAAGGATTATTAACAATACTGAAACTAGTAGCTATAATCAGTAAAGCTAAATATAAAAACTTTAGCAAAAAGTTGAATTTAGAAAAATAAAAGAGAAATTGAATTAGTAAAATAGTAGCAAACTGCTAAAAAAAGTAGCTAAAAGGGCTAATTGTGTCAAGACACTAGCTAAACAATAACTAAAACTGTAACTAAAGCTAAAATTATTAAAATTGTATCTAAAGCGTCAGCTTAGCAAAAAAGCTGAAATTTGTAACGAGTAGTTTTACATAAATGTAGCTAAAATCTAATAGTAGCAAAACTGAAATTAGAAGCTAACATCAGTAAACTATCTAAAAGCTAAATTAGCTAAAACCCTAAATTAACTAAACTTATGCTAAATGTTGAAGTAAAACAACTAAAAGCTAAATGTAGCAAAACTGCAGCTAAATAAAAGCTAAAATGAGCAAACTCATACTTAAAATGTAAAGTTAACAAGACAGCAGCTAAAAGTAGCGTAAGACAAAAACAGAAGCAGCAGCTGAAGCAGATTTGAATGAGACGAATGTTTTGAAGGAACAGAAGATATCTTAATTTACTTTTTCCAATCGACGTATTTGTAAATAAAGACAAAATAATTTAAAAAATGTAAAAATGACACTAATCCTGACTGAACATTTGGACATGAACGGTCAAAACAGCACAAAGTATGAAGGTGTTTGATGCAAACAACCGTACGAAACAAACTTTAAACGATTCAGCGTTCTTAAAGCCACTAAACCAGGTCAAGAGTCAAACACTCACGGTTTCTGATCTCCAATCGGTCTCTGAAGAGCGCGGCAGGCGGGGGTGAGTACGACTGCTGGAAAACGTCTTCGTCCTCCTGGGACGTCCGGGCGTAATGTCCCGTTGCCATGGCGTCTGCGCCTAAAACAGCCGAGCAGCACAACTTGTGGACTTCTTCACAAAACACAAAGAAATTAAGAAATCTTCTAAAGGTCATTACACGTTGATTCAGAACGCACAAATCGCAGGGTTACGATGAAAACTGTGAAAACCAGAAATCAATGCGTCCATACCCAAAGTGTTGACTGCATACTTGTGGAAATGGTTGAATTTGATGTGTTTGTTGCACAGAATGTCAGGGTTTGGAGTCCTTCCCTGCTCATACTCCTTCAACAGATAGCTGCAAACATATGGAGACACTTGGTAACATTCTTAATTTACAACTAATAAAAGTGGCTCATTTTACCTGAAAACATGATGCCAGTATTCTTTGACATAGGACACCTGATGGAAGGGGATGTCCAGGATCTGACACACCCTGTGGGCGTCCTCACAGTCCTGTGTGCTGCAGACCCCACTCTCATCCAGGGAGTCCCAGTTCTTCATGAAAACTCCCGTCACGTTGTAACCTTCAGGCAGCACACACCAGATTCACCGCTCAAACAAGCCGATTTAAGAACAAGCGTTTTAAAGCTAGTTAAAAATGCAATGCTGTATTTCTGATTGCATTTGATGTTAACTAAAGTAAAGTTTTTAACTATTCGGCGACACTTTTTTATCGTTTAAATGTGACCCCGCGTGTGTTTCGACCCATTTTCTCACCTCGTCTCTTCAGTATCAGCGCCGCCACAGAGCTGTCAACTCCGCCGGACATGGCGCACACGACGTGCCGCATCAAACCCATTTTAGTCTCCACTTAAAAGCTCAACATTAAAAACACTTTAAAATACACATGTGATTTACGTAACATTTGTTTTAGCTGCTCCCAACATGTTCAAGTCCGGGAAGTAAGTGCGTCCGGCATAAAACACGAACTTAACCGGAACCATTGAGCAGACGGGGACCACATAACGTGTAACACCGTGAACTTAGCGGAGCTGCAGCTTCCGCTTAAGATCCAAACAGAAAAGGTCGGTGCAGATTCAGAACAAGCCTAACATTTGTTTTTTGTACACTTTATTTATTTTTATTAGTTCTGAAACAATATTTGTATGACTAGAATAAAAAAAAACTATTACCTTGTTCATTTAAAATCATAAAGCAGAGCTCAATAAATTAATCTAAACAAATGATAAACCAGAAAACAACCTCCTAAACAGACTAAAGCTGCTTCCTTTAGTTAGTAACATGTTTTTTTTTTTATTTAGCTTTTGTTTCTATGGTCTTAAAATAATATTTAAGAGTAATTTCCCCCATGAGGCCAGGTTTTTATGGGGTTTATAGTAAGAAATGTACAAATACTGCTTTCATACGAGCACAATGGCAAAAGATTTTCCAATTAAAGTCAAATATGTTGTTTTTTTTTGCTCGTTTCAAACGTTTGTTGCCCTTTTTTGTGTTCATAGATGTGTCCGGTGTCTGCAGACGCCGTCACTCTGGATTTACTGAAAGAAGCCCGGGAGACGGTGATGAGCAGCCCGCTGGGCGTCATCAAAACTCCCATGATCCCCTGGGGTCAGACCGCTCTGCCTCCGAGCGCCGCCGGCAACGTCCAGCTCAAACTGGAGAACATGCAGAGAACCGGTGAGTGGGAACCGTTTGAATTCAGCACCCAAAGACTCACGTACACCGAGCTGACCTGCTCATCTGTTTCTGATCCAACAGGCTCTTTTAAAATCAGGGGGGTGGCCAATCAGTTCGCCAGGCGACCGAGGGGGGGCTGTTTTGTCACCATGTCTGCTGGGAACTATGGGAAGTCTTTTGCGTACGCCTCAAAGCACTACGGGTCGAAGGGAAAGGTGGTCATGCCAGAAACTGCACCAGAGTCCAGGTCCGTCCTCATACAGGTCAGCTTTTAAATTCTAAAGAACCCAAATTATAAAAAAGGTAATCGGGTGATGACCCCAGAGCTTTTCCTCGTCCTCAGAGGCTGGGGGTGGAGGTGGAGCGAGTCCCTACATCCTCTCTGATGGACGTGGTGAACCGCTGCGTGCAGGACGACGACATGACCTTCCTGCACTCCTACGATGACCTGGATCTGATAGCTGGACACGCCAGGTACTTTATCGTTTGACGATCGTTATTTGGGTTTAATTTACAAATTAAATTATTTTCTCTTCCCACCATCGACGAGCAGCCTGGGCCTGGAGGTGCTGGAGGAGGTGCCGGACGCCGATGTGGTGGTGGTTTGCTGTGGCGGAGGCGGCCTGCTGGCCGGAGTAGCTGCCGCCATCAAACTTTCAGGTTGCCACAAAACCAGGATCTACGGTGTGGAACCAGAAGGAGGTAAAAATTAAATGAAAGAGCGAGAAGTAAAACCAGAACAGCTGAATCAGTTTGTTTTTTTTACCCAGCCTGCACGATGCACAGAAGCTTTATCGAGAAGAAGCCGATGGGAATGAACGCCAAGAGCATCGCCTCCGGCCTCGCACCTCCTTCTGCAGGTTCCTGTTCCTTAAACGCCTTGAAAACCTAATGCACACCAGAGAAACTGCATTTCTTGCCAACATGCAGTGAACAGCAGCTGAAATGTAGCTGAAATTGAAGAACAAGCCTAAGTTAGCAGAAGAAAGCAGAAATAATACATATTTGCTGAATTTGGTTTTAATCAGCAGAAACAAGCACAAAAATTAGTAAATTTGCTCAAATAAAAGCTGAAATTAGAAAAAAAAACTGCTGAATAGTAGCTAAAAAGCAGAAAGAAGCTTAAATTATCAGAAGGAAATGGAGAGAGCACATTAAAGATGAATTAGGCTGCAAAAAATGTGCAATTAGCTGAAGCATAAAAACAGCTAAATAGTAGCTGAAATAGCTGCAATAGCTGAAACTTACAGAAATAAATTAGAAGCACAAACATGTCATTAGCAGAAAGAATCTAAAAGGAGCACAAAACAGCTGAAAGTAGCTGATTTTTTTTTTTATTTGCACAAGGAAGCTGAAAGAAGCTGAAAGAAGCTGAAGCAGAACAAAATGTGAAAGGAGCAGTAAAAGGTTGTAAACAGATCTAAAGATTTGAAGGAAGTAAAATGAGCTTGATTAATTCTCTTACAATAAAAATGGCAGAAAAGGCTAAATATTTCAAAAAGCTAAAGTTGCACCAATACCAGAAGTCATAGCAGGATTGTCCTGAAAGAGCCGAACGTTTTAATGATTTTTTGCACGTACGTAATAGATGAATTCGAATAATAATGAATATAAACAGGATCACAATAAAAACAGAACGATTTGCATATTTTACTAACAATGGAACAGAAATTATACCTTATTTTAGGTCAGACATAATATTCAACTTTTTTTTCTTGTGCTTCTTCCTGTTTGGCCACCGGTCTGCATTAATAACTAAAATAATAATTCTCTCCAGGCCGGCTGCCTTTCGAGCTGTGTCATCGTTACGTGGAGCGGATCGTCCTCGTGAGCGATGAGGAGATCAAAGTGGCGGTGTCCACCCTCTACCGAGCCGGGCTGGTGGTAGAACCGTCCGGTTCTGCCGCCTTCGCTGCTCTCTTCAACAACAAGATCCCCGACCTTGAGGGGAAGAAGGTCGTGTGTGTCCTCAGCGGAGGAAACATCGGGAAAGACGAGCTCGCCAACTTTCCAGACTGAAACTTTTGAGAAAATTATGGTTCTTGCTCTAAATTCTCTTGATATTTAAAGTACTTAAAGTAGATTAATAGAATTTAATTTTTCCCTATATGTTGATGTCATTTTTATCATAAACACCTTTATGTAGAATTTATAATTATATAATCAATGTTAATTTTGAAAATGTGCTAAAAGTGATACATTTTATCTGCGCTAATGAATTTGATGTAAAACTGCGGATTGACGAACACTTGCACTCCAAACTGTTTAGATCTGTAAAAATATTTTACTTTTATTAAAAATATATAAAAGTGAAGAACTTGTTAGAATATAAAGTTGCAGATTCAAATAAATGTCCCGGTTTTTGTCTGTCCTCCTCAGTTTTCTTTTGTGGCCCCCTCTGCTCTACACGGATCTAAACAGAATATCTCCACTGTTGGTCTCAGCAGGTTTCACTGCAGCTGTTCGCTCGAGCTCTCGTCAGGTCAAGTGTTCGCGATTGTATTAAAGCGCTAAAATCAGCCGAATGTGTTCGCAGGGCAGAAAATCTGATGCCCCAAATGAAACTACGGCTGTTCAGATCACTGGACATGTTCCACTCTTTTTAAAGAACGCATGTTGCTGAACGGTAGCGCCCCCAGAACAGTAAATACGTAAAAAACTGAGAATCACTAAAAATCATTTTAAGTTCCATTTAAATGTGTCAAAATACTTTAGTTGAAAAATACACAGAACATAATACACAGCAAGTGCAGTAAATAAGTTTATTTTATTTATTGGGAGGAAGCACGTTGTGGGGCAAAGGATTTATTTAGGTGGGGCTGTGCCCCCACACGTCCCCCTGGACCGGCCGCCACTGCTCTTTTCTTGTTAGTGCTATGAATGTGGGAGTTTCTCCCTTTTTTATTTTATTTTCCAAAGACTTGGCTGACATTAGCCCTTTAGCTCCATTATTCCCTGGGCGCTTACACCCACTGCTCCACTATCTCAGGTGCGATGGGTTAAATGCAGACAACACATAGCACTTTACTTTATTCAGCACTGCGACTGGGATCAAACAGACTCGTCTTTAAAACGTCTGTTTAAACACGAGGACAATAAAAGTTAAATATCAAAATGAAAAATCCTCAAAACCATATCTATTTAAATGTAACAATGATTAAAACCGTATCTGATAAGTACAAATAAAGACATAGAATTAAAAAATAACCATACGCAACATGTTGCATGACAAAAATAAAGAAATGGAAGGTGTTCTGATGTGATATCCTGCTGCAGCTACATGACATCCTTGGAGGCCATTCTGCAAACAACTGCATCGAGCAGACTCCCACATTTCTCCTCCTGAGGGGGAACTTTGTACAGCTGGATTGAAGGGGGAAAAGCAGAGAAAAGGAGTTATAAACTTAAATTGTAGCAGTTACTCAGGATACTGTGTGACAAGTAAATATGTGCAGGATGCAACAAGTTGTAACACATTTAAACTCTTTGCTGGAGGAGTCACAAGAACAACCTTTTTGATCTTTGCTGTGTCTGATAAAGAGGAGACATCGTCCACTGGGAGCTGCAGTCCATCCACCATGGCTGCGATGTCCGACAGAGACGGCGGCTCGTCTTTCTTGTGAACCAGGACCACCAGAACCGAGTCATCGCCGTCTGAGATCCCAAATCTTTTAAAAGCCTCTGAAATCTGTCGGTGGAAAAACACAAACGATGAGTTCTGTGAGCAAAAATAAAGTGAAAACCAATAAAGGGGGGAAATGTATTTTAGAGTTATGTCCACATAACGTTGCTTACATTATTAGTAGGTGACAAGTTGAAGATTATTTCAGAGTTTAAAGTTCTTGTCTTCATTTTCCCAGTTGTCTGTAAATGAACAGCTTTATTGGCAGCCACCAGCACCTGGAATGAACTCAAAACCTGTGACAGTGAACACAGATTCAGTTTACACTACATATTTTATTTTTTAAAGATACAGCTTTTAAAGCTAGTAAATTAATACAGTTTGAAACAAGTCCATAAAAACAGTCTCACCATTGTCGGGTTGATTAGAGCACCGTTGATTCGACCTTCCACCGCTTTTTGTCTCAACTCTTTTGCGTTTTGAACGTCTTTAAAAAGCATTTGTGTCACCGTGGTGTCCGGGAAAAGCTCCAGCTCCTGCGAAAGGTGCATGCTGGAAAAAAAAAACTTGACAAAATGTGGCGAACTTTAGTTATTAGTGGATTGTTTGCGCCTCTTCACGTGTGAAACACCCGCACAAAACGAACCGGGACCCATAATACTGCGACACCGCATGAGACGGAGTGTCCACAGATGAGGGCACGATGAAGAGTTTTGACATTTTGTAAAATATGATTTAAAACATGTTTATTTTTAACTATATTTATTATACTTTTGTGTATTCGGTAAGCTAGCTATTTTTATATCAATGTAGGAACCAATAGTTAGAAGAGTTCCTCTACCGAGCCTATTTCCGGGACGGACATCCTGTTGTTTTTCCGCTTAGCGACATTGGACAAAATTCTACTCGTTTTCTCTCTGAATTTTGGTTGTTTTGCTGCTTTATTGCGTGAATCTGATCACTATGCGTGATAATCAACATTATAACAGTTAGCTTTGGGGCAAATTGACGGTTGCGCGCGCATCATCGTGGAAACATGGAGAAATTTGAAGGCTACATTTTCACTGCTCTCTGCAGCACCAACTTCTTGATCTCCTGCCTGATTTTCTCTAAAATCACACGGGAGCAGAGGGAGCCGTACATGGACGAGATCTTCCACATCCCACAAGCTCAGAAATACTGCAATGGAAAATTCAACGAGGTAAAATCATTTTAAATAGTCTCAATAGGCACAAAACAGTGTTTAACTGAGTAGCAGATGACAGCTTGTAGAGGTTATTTTGCTACAGGTTCAGATGTTCCACATTAAATACACCACACTCAAAATGGTTTAAAATGGCAAGCAGTTACAAGAAATACAGCACAAGTGCACGAAGACAAAATAAACCTCAGAATGATTCACATGAATGTCTATAAACAGGAGCTAAAACAAAAACACTGATGCAGAGACATTATATGATCCCAAACATTTAGTTTTATAATCATTTGAATTAACTTGGACTGTTTGTAATTGTGTAATCTAAACTGGATCTTTTGTATTTGAAAGTTATTTGTACTTATTTGGCGGTTTTTTTTTAAGTGTGTCCAGAGATGACTGTTGTTGCACGTTTACTCTTTATTAAATAAAAACTGAATAGTAAAAAACAGTTACAATTAGAGACTAATAGAAATAAACTGGAAACGACAAAACCTTAAAAAAAAAAAAAAGATGTAAATTGACATCAGGTTTTGTGAAAACTACATACTGTATATTATTTCCATTCATAGTCTAAAACATGTGAAGTTGAATTATTCCCAGCAGTACGGAAAATAAAACCTTGATGACGTTTTCATGTAAAATGGAAAAACGCTCGGTTTTTAAATCTTGCTTCGATCTGCGCAGTGGGACCCGATGATCACTACTCCCCCCGGTCTGTACCTGGTCTCTGTGGGCGTCATCAAGCCTGTGGTGTGGCTTGCCGACCTGACGGGCGACGTGGTGTGTTCCACGGCCATGCTGCGCTTCATCAACCTGCTCTTCAACTGCGGCAACCTCTACCTGATCTACCTGCTCCTCTGCAAGCTGCACCTCAGGGAGAAGGTAAGGATGGGGGGGGGGGGCACTGGTTGTTTGGTTTGTTTACTCACGTTCCTCCTCTTCTAGACACGAACGACCTCACGTCGAGTCCTGTCGGCGCTGTCTCTGTCCACCTTCCCCGTGCTCTACTTCTTCAACTTCCTCTACTACACGGACGCCGGCTCGACTTTTTTCATCCTCTTCACCTACCTCATGACGCTCTACGGCTGCCACAAGGCCTCGGCGCTCCTCGGGGTCTGCTCTTTGCTCTTCCGCCAGACCAACATCATCTGGGTGGCCTTCTGCGCCGGCACAGTGGTGGCCGCCAAAATGGACGAGGCCTGGAGGACAGAGCACACGAAGAAGAGGGACGAGAAGTCTCCTCCCTCCCAGGTCCCTCTGACGTTTAGTGGAGCTAAGAAAGTGATGCTTTTCTCCATGGAGTTCTTCACGTCGCTCAGCCACGTGAAGGCGGTGCTGCTGGTGGCCTGGCCTTACGCGGCGGTGGGCGCAGCTTTCCTAATCTTCGTGGTGTTAAATGACGGGATAGTAGTTGGCGACAGGACGAGCCACGAAGCCTGTCTCAACTTCCCTCAGATCTTTTATTTCCTCTCCTTTTCCCTCTTCTTCTCCCTCCCCGTGTCGCTGTGCTACCACCGTGTCCTCCGACTCCTCCAGGCTCTCAAAAAGCAGCCGCTCTTCTTCCTCTTCGTCACGGCGGTCTCGTTACTTCTCGTGTGGAAGTTCACTTTCATCCACAAGTACCTCCTGGCAGATAACCGCCACATACCTTTCTACGTGTGGAGAAAAGTTTTCCAGAGGCACGAGCTGGTGCGCTTCCTCCTCGTGCCCGTGTACGTCTTCGCCGGCTGGAATTTCCTGGACTCCTTCAAGTCGCGCTCGCTCTTCTGGAGTCTGGCCTACTTGGCGTGTCTCGTGTGCGCCACGGTTCCCCAGAAGCTCCTGGAGTTCCGGTACTTCATCGTCCCGTACCTGATGTACCGCCTGCACATGCCTCTCCCCTCTCTTCCCAGACTGGGCGGGGAGTTCCTGCTGTACGCCGCCGTAAACGCCGCCACCGTTTACATCTTCATCGCCAAGACGTTTCACTGGCCGGACAGCACAGCCACGCAGAGGTTTATGTGGTGAGGAGGAGAGATGGACATCTGAGGACAGAACTGTCTCAAAAGAAGCATATTCTGTTTGTCGGAAATCTGTGGAGCTTACACTGAAAATGTAATAAAGAGCCGATGCGTTCAAAGAGCTGATCACCGTAGCTTGTTTGGAAGGAGTTTCCCATCTGAACCAGCTTTCTGCACTCATCTGTCCAACCACAGGGCGCAAACACGACCTGGGCGCTCGATGCATTCTCTTACGACTGTTTCTTTTAGGGATGCACAATATTATCGGCATGGTATCGGCCGATATTAGCGATAAAGTTAAATATCGGACATTCCTTCACTTCCATCCCATCCGATATAAAAGGCGCTGTTTTTTTCATCTGCATTTGATAGCAGACCAAATTGACAAAGACCATTCAGAATAATGTATTTTAATTCTACAGCAGAAAAAGCTATGTAGTCTCTGTAAGTAGGTCTAGGAAAACAATTTATCGGTATTGTTATTGGCCAATAAGTTTTAACATATCGGATATCAGCCAAAAATTCAATATCGTGCATCCCTAGATCCTTTCACTGTAAATGTAAAGCAGCTCAGTTTGTTGGTACCTTTCACAATAATCAAACGTAACTGATGTGACTGAAACAGAAAAAGCTCCAGTTTTATCTCATATCAATAAGCGATTTGGTAAATTCTCATCTGGCTTGTATATTTTTTGTTTTGTTGTGTTGTTAGTGGAGCTTTCCTGTGTTGGATGGTGCCTTTCAGACAGGGACACACAAAAGTTCACTGGTTTTGGATGATTTCTTGGCTCTTTGTCATCCATATTATCTGTTTGAACAACCCGGGGTTGCATTTCCTCTTGCATCCACATTCTGAGAGGCTGGCCACAGTCCTGTGAACCTTCTGCTTTTTTAATATTGACGTCAGCTTTGGTTCGAGGAACAGGAAGCTGCGCGGAGACGGTCTTGTAGCCTTGACCTTAAACGTGGACATCTATAAACTTTGTCGTACGACTTTATCTGCTCCGTGTTGGGTGTGTGAACATATAGATGCCAAACTACCCAGTGACTTGATTTTAAAAAAAGGCTGCTGCAGAGTTTGAAAGCACCTCTGATTCACTCAGTTTTGAAGCATGACTAATGCCAAGAAGCGTACCAATCAACCCGTTCATATCGTTTTAACACATCTTTAAAATAAAATGTATTTTCACTGTACTTTTTTTTGTTTTTGTTTACATGGTTACATAATAAAGGCGTGCAGATAAACATTAGATGATTGCTTTTAACGACACGAAGCATCGTCTCAATGAGCTGGAAGGGGACCAACAAATTTCTTTGCGTCTTTTTCACAATTTTGGGAATTTATATAATTTACCGAGTCGGATTGTTACAAAAAATGTCCGTACATTAAACTGGTGACTGTATCCTGTTTGGAAAGGACTTTACCATTAAAAGAAGCTTTTTAATTTATCCTTCCATGGCGTGTAGACATGACCTGATGAATTTCCTTCTGGTTGTTTTTTGTGTGTAAATAAAAACAAGTAAATTCAAGTTTATGAACGAAGAGACCAAAAGTGATTATAGCCATACTGTAAAGTGTTTTTGTTGTGGGGATGCTGTTTAGTTTTTTTGCTAACAAAGAAGACTGATGTCAAACGGGACGATTTAATGATTTCTACTTAAATTATGACGCTGATAAAGCTGCAGGGATCCAACAATGTCAGCCATTATTAATTAATTTGTTAGTTTTGTTACGTTCGTGTCTTGTGTGATTAATTTAGTTGTTTTTTTCTCCTTGTAAACATGATTTAATGAGTTCTTAAATGTTGTTTTGAGTTAAAGTCTTGAAATTCAATCCGATATTATTGGATTTTCTGTCTTCGTTTAGGTTGTTGTTGTAGATGTTGGTCCGGTACGACGGTGTGTGAACGTCTGCTCGGCTGATAAAACGTTAAACATTTGTTTAACGTGTCAAGTGAAAGTATTTGACTAAATTTAGGTTTATAGTTAACAAAGACTGAGCAGTGCGTCAAGTCATGCAGCCATTTCTGCCCAGTCTCTTGACTTCCAGGTTTTTCCATTTTCACTCTGATTTTGGATCTTTTTCGTTTACAGAGTTGAGCTCAGACGTTTGCCGGCCGTTGTGCACGTTTCCCGAAACTTTGTCTGTATTTGTGTCCATCCAGCTGTAAGTAAGCTGCTCCTTTGGGTGTACAAATCTGAATAAAAGTCTCAGTAAAAAACAGAACATGAAGCTGTTTCAACATGTTTTTAAACTTGTAACTACAAATATAAAGAGTTTACTTTTATATTAAAGTCGTAGTATGAAGGAATGCATATCACCCGCTGCATCTGAGCTTTAGACTGGAATTAGTTTATGCTGGAAAATCAAAAAAACAAACATATATATAGTTGGTCAAACCTTAAAAAGGATATTAAGTGAATCTCTTATATAAATACGGTTGCACTCGGAGTGCGTTTTGTGAATGATTCTCAGCTACTACCACTAAAGTTCAGCTCAATTTCTGCACAACCGACTGTATTATTAGCTTCGGTGGCCATCTTAAATTGGATTAACCCAAAACATTACACGTTGCATTTAATTCAAACCTTTCCAGTGGTTCATGAGATATTTTGCTAACGGAGACAGTAGAAACATTTCATTTTAAATGGATTCATGTGAATTTTGCAGGTGAGGAAAAAGACTAAAACAATGAAACTCATGCGGTGATAATTATGAGCAAAGAAGCTGAAAATAAACACATTAAAGTTGTTTTAATTTTAACTTTTAAAAGTCTTTAACGTTTACTAAGGTGGAACAGTAGGGGGCGCTGTGGGATAAAGCTGGGTTCTCCAGTGAGTCAAAACAAGAATCAAATCCAACAAGTCTGATTCAGTTTGATGCTTCCAGTGTGTCCCTCCTGCTGTGAGCGTGGACAACGTCTCGTTAGTTTGGTGGGAAAACAAGTAAAATAATTAAAACCAAGGAAATTCAACGTACGGGCTGAGCTCAAACTGGGAGCACCTTTAGCTCCTAACGGTAAAAACTCAGGTTATTGTTTAGGTTTTTACTCGTTTGCTCGTTTGTTTTGCTGATTTGAATGAACAAAATCAGAAAAACAAGGATTTTTATTTTCATTTGAATGAAAATTAACTTTTTTTTTTAAATCCTCAAACTCAAAGGGGTTTAATATTTCAGCTCTGTATCATTACGTCAATTAAACTATAACATTATCTGGGTTTGTTTGTCAGGAGTGTTAGCAAAATATCCCACAAGCCACTGGACCTTTGAAGTCAACCCCATTCAAGATGGCCGCCAAAGCTTAGCAACATTCTCAAAGATCGAAATGGCTCCAACTCAAGCTGGTTTTACACATACTGAGGTCAAATTTGGTGTGGTAGTAGATGAGAATAATCCCCAACACACACATTGAGCACTACACTTCGCACACCTGTTAAGATCTACACCGTCTGTTAGCAAAATATCTCATAACCCTCTGGACAGGATTTAGTCAAACTCAAAAATCAGCCTCTATTCCTCCTTAAACTAGAAATCCGATGCTCGTTCAACGGCTCAATTAAAAGATCAGAATCAAACACAGTTGGAGAATATCAAATAAAAATAGCTCCCTGTCCTTTTACCAATTATTTCTCTTGTTCTGCTCATTTTCTGCTGAGACACGAAAACAGATCTGCTTCTTCAGTCGTGACTTCCCACCTTTTTAATGAGGTTCCTTAAAGCCGCCAGTTTTTATTGGTCTTTCCCTCTGAGCAGATTAATAACCAGGACATGATGGCTTCTGTTTGCAGAACGGTGGATTTCTCTACAGTCTCGAAGAACACGTCTACAAAACAGTAGCTGAAGGGTTGTACCTACGTCTGGGTGCACGAACAGACCGACTCGAACCTAATGAAGTGTTTAAATACAATTTAAAGAACAAACAGAAGAGAGAGCCTCTAAAACTAGAAACAGAAAGACAAAAGAGCTGCTGGGACATGGGCAGTGAGGGAGGTGATGAAGAACATGAAACAGCTGAGAGGCAGAAACTCAACACAGGTGGAAATCAAAGTCGAAGTAAATGAACTAGAATGAACAGGAGCTACAGCTCTGACCCGCAAAACAGGAAGTGAAGGTAAATGACATGAGCTGTGACCAATGAAAACAGGAAGTGAAGGTAAACAACATGAGCTGTGACCAACGAAAACAGGAAGTGAAGAAATAACATGAGCTCTGACCAATGAAAACAGGAAGTGAAGGTAAACAACATGAGCACTGACCAATGAAAACAGGAAGTGAAGGTAAACAACATG